TATGATTGAAGGTTACGCTTAGAGTCTTTTTACTGCTTTGTAATTGGTTAGAGTTTTGAAAATGAATAAAGAGAGTTTGAGTTGGTCTTGGGGAGCACAGCACGATAGATGCAGTAGAGAGAGAGAGTGCAGTCCTGGGCAGTCGAGAGTCCAGTCCAGGGGCGAGCCTTGAGGCAGTCCAGTCTTGGGCGAGTCTTGGTTCAGCCTTGTGAGATTCTTGGGGACTTTTCCCCAGGACGCTGTGTCTTATAGAGTGCTCGATTGACCGACTAAGACGAGAGCTGAAACGTATTTCGTTGTGTGCGTCTTATTTGACTGTAAAGTTAAAGTGACTTTCCCGATCCCGTACCTCAAGGGGACGAGATAGAGAGACGAGACGAGTTTCCCCCCTGGCAAGTGTGGAGAACCCGAAAGTACAAGATTTTACCCCTGACACAACCACAAAGCACAATCCAAATAACGAAAATAAAACAGTATGTACTAATAAATAATTAAACAAGAGAATTATCTCATAGCGTATACTGACTTTAATGATTGTTATTGTTATTGATTGAATTTAGTCACTTAATTTATAGGCAATATTGATAAAAGAATACAATACAAACAACACTGAAATACATAGTGAATAGGAGGCCGAAAAATGGTGTAAAACACTAGTCGAGTCCACCCCTTTTCTAGGTTAAAAACAAACTACAATAATAAGTGGATTCTAAAACAATTACATACAACTCAATTATGCATACTGTAAAAATCTTTTCCTTTCTTTTTTGATTGAATTTCTTAAGCTCATGGAACGAATTTTGTCTGGAAGATTATTCTAAAGTTTAGCCCTAGCATAGTTGATTGAATGTTGTCCCGAATTAGTATGGTATTTTGAAATAATAAGATTTTGTGTAATAAGAGAAAAAAAATATTGAGGAAACCCTGGTGGTAACTTGCCATTGAGATTATCATGAACACACAAAGACATTTGCAAATCATGTTGTTTATAGATATCTAGTACATGGTGCCGATTAAAAAGTGAAGAAGTGTGTGAGAGGCGATCGAATCCTGTTATTATGCGTACATTTTGTTTCTGTGTGAGATGTATGAGTTTCAGGTAAGTTGAGTACGTGTTCCCCCAAACTTCTAGTAGATAGGAAATATGTGGTAGGATGAAACAGTTATATAATAGTAAAAGAATAGATGGTGGAATTATGTCCCTCAACTTGAAAAGAATACCTACTTTACTACTTATTGTTTTATTTACTTTCTGTATATGGTTCTTCCAGTCAAGGTTATTGTCAAATTCAACACCAATGTACTTAGTTGTTTCAACTTCATCTATTGTTACTTACCCCTTTTATGTTAATTGCGCCCGTTGAATGTATTGATGCCTGTTTACCTCTAAATATAATGTATTCAGTTTTTAGAGGAATTTATTGTTAATTGACTTTTCTGCAAACAAACGGGTGTCAGAATAATCTGTGGCACTTGTAATATCATTTACGTAAATCAGAAAGAGTGTCGGACCTAACACAGAGCCTTGGGGAACTCCGCAAGTAATTGGTATTTCATTTGACTGCATCCCATTAATATGGAAAAGTTGATTTTTGTTTGTTAAGTAATTTCTAAAGAGATTTTTAATTGTTTAGTTTGCTAATTAGAATATCATGATTCACAGTGTCAAATGTTTTTTTAAAGTCCAAAAATATACCAATCACGCCATTACTCATGTCAATTTCCTCCAGAATTGTCTGTGATATGTCCGCAATTGCTACCTTAGTACTGTATCTCTCCCGGAACCATATTAATGATTGTACAATAGATAAAAACTGTTAAGATACGAGATCATTTGTTTGTTAATGATTTTCTCAAATATTTTGCTAATCGTTCACTGCACATATTATCTTATTCAAAAATTGCGTTTTCTTCTCCGACGATGGCGTATCCGACCACGTCAATAACAACATGTATATTACAGTACTTTGCGACACCAATCTGATTGAAATAAGGTTTTATTGGGCTTTCTTATTTCTTTGTTATTCTTTTAATTGTTAATTTGTTATTATTATTATTTTATTATTTATTATTTTAGTTAATTTAATTACTTAATAAATTTATTATATTTGATTATATTCTGACTGCAAAGACCTGAACAATCTCCGCAGAAGATCTCTTTGCTGTAGTTTCAAATAACATGATTGCTAGTAGCCAACTCACATTCCCTTGTTGGGAACTGCCTTGTTTACAACGGTCAGTGATATGTTTCGAAAAAATCAAATTTG